GAGTTTTTTTTTCTGCTGTGTCATGCTGACATGAGAGCGAGACTGGGTGGGCAATTAGTTTGTCTTGCTGCAAAGAAATGAATAAACCAATTATTTACAATTTATCATCCATTTTTGTAAAAATGACTCACTGTTCACAATTGGTTTATAAATGACCAGGTTTATTCCAGTTTAAAACTATGGTGTTATGTTAAAACAGCATTTATGTGTTCAACTTTACAATGCAAGTCTTGTTGGATGTAGTTATTTATTTTTTGTTTTCATAAAAACAAAACAAAGCTTAGAAACTTGAATAAAAAACTAAACAATATTCAAAGCTCTTTTCCCTTAAATTTAAACTTCTACCACATTCTTTGTTGCAGCATAGATTTTGATTCAGGATTATTTTAGTGACACTTTCTCAGTCTATGGTGTTAGAGAGGAAACACCAATGATGGTCACAAACACATTATTATCCATTTATTGCACATTAAAGTGAAGCAACAGGTCTAACTTACTCTGTAGATGTTATTGTGGCAGTGCAAGGTACAAAGAACTGTGCAGGGAGTACTAAAACAAATGTGATATGGAAGCTTGAGATAAGAGCTTTTGATTGATTTATCTTGGCAGTGTAACGAATAACAAGTGTTTAATCAATCACTGCTTTCCATTCATTGGCGTGAAGGCTGCACCAAGACTTGCAACATCTTTCTGTAATATATATATATATATAGAGAGAGAGAGAGATAGCTCACTTTAAAGGACAGTTTGAGCTCAAGGGTGACTATCCTGGAGACCCAGCGTCCCTCTCTTGATACTTGTTTTTCTTTCGTCCGTGTAGCAGGTTACCGGTGTCTGTGATGGAGCGCTGGCGGGGCAGAGTGGCTCTGGTGACCGGAGCCTCGGTCGGCATTGGGGCGGCTATAGCCGTAGAGCTGGTCCGACTCGGTATGAAAGTGGTGGGCTGCGCCAGAGATGTTGGAAAAATACAGGTTTGTTCTGAAGTGAAAGACTCATATAATTTTTGATATGCAAATCATTTTTAATTGTGTCAGGCTGGAATGAAAACTCAGACTTTCTGCGAGAGTGCAAAGTATATTTTACACAAGATCTTCCAGCTGTGTCAGGCTTACATACGGTAAGTCGTTTTATTTAACTGTAATTAAACCTGTTTTACAACAGGTCAGTCATTGTCGCACGGCAATACAGACTGTGTGTAAAACTTGATTATTGATAGATGATCAATAGATTCATTGATAGATTTGGCACAACACTTTCAATTTCAATTTACTCCATTGCAGAAAAAGAAGGCTGGACACAACTGAACTGATGACAAACATCTGAATTTCAGTTTTGTTTTGTTTTTTGTCGTCTCTACAGTTTTCACTAGAAAATAAGAAATTAATAAAAACGCAGATCTTAATCTTAATTCTTACCTTTCTAATCTTAAAGTTTATCATCTGCCATTTCCTTTTGGTTTCAGAAACTGGCAGCAGAGTGTAAGAGCGCCGGCCACTCTGGTGTTTTGGTTCCTTTCAAGTGTGACTTGACCAAAGAGGAGGAGATTCTGTCCATGTTTGCAGCGATCAAAAATCAGCACAAAGGTGTGGACGTGTGCATCAACAATGCTGGTCTGGCACAGCCAGAGCCGTTGCTAAATGGCAAAAGCAGCAGCTGGAAGAACATGATGGACGTAAGAGCTCAGATATTTTAGAAAACAATTATCTTGACTTAGACTTCAATAATATTTTGTGTGCGGTATGTGGAAATACACTCACTGGAATGTTTTCTTTGCAGAATATTGAATGAAATAAAATTATCACTTTTATGTAGCTCTAAAAGTTGGGGAATTATTCTGTTACAGCAGCAAAACACCAAAAACAATTTAGCCCATTAAAATAATAATAATAATTATAATAATTTTTACTTTTTATTTTTCTGCATGGTTTCTTGCAGGTAAACGTTCTTGCACTGAGCATGTGTGCACGTGAAGCTTATCAGTCAATGAAAGAGAGAAATGTGGATGATGGGCACATCATAAACATAAACAGGTGCAGTTTTATTTACTGATGATCAACGACGGCCATGCCTGTGAAGTCTGACGATTTAAACATCTTTCAAATATCTTTGAATATAATCATGCTCAGATTCAGATTGAGATTATGAGCTTCTGTTGGTAACACTAATGGCAAACAAAGAACAATCAAAAGAACAAGATAAAATATACAAACAATAAGTTCACAGCGAACATGCAGACTTGAACAGAGAGGTTTTAAGTTGAGATTTCAACTGGGGGAGAGAACCAATGTTTCTTATATCTGGAGGTAGAGAGTTCCCGATATTGGGAATAAATAGGCATATTTGTGCACATTTTTGTATATTCAATCCTGGAATTCAGTTCAGTAGATGAGTTTGAGGTGAGGAGGAAGAGGGTGACATTTCATTAAGATGCCAGTGGCGCTCACTCGTTTCATTTCTTTGGTAAAGAGGACTCCTCCTCCAAGGATAAAACACAGGTGTGATCCTGAAATCAGATAAGAAATATGTTGGTAAATGCTGACCTAGAAATGTTCTTCTGTTGTAGTGTGGGTGGACATCATGTCTATCCCATTCCCGATTTACATTTCTACATGGCGACCAAGTTCGCTGTAACCGCGCTGACTGAGGGCCTGAGGCAGGAGCTGCGTGCAGAAAAAACTCATATCAGAGCCACGGTAAGGTTTTAAAGAACACTGATAAACCCAAAAAGTGCCCTTAAAACCAATATCAGCTGCTATGAGACACATTTACAATACTTTCCGAAGTCGACACACAATCACACTTCTTTTACCTTTGTTTTTCTTTTGTTATTTACAGAGCCTCTCTCCTGGTTTAGTGGACACAGAATTTGTATCACGGCTCCACAGCAATGAACCTGAAAAAGTAGCTGCTATGTACAGGGAATTTAAGGTATAATTATTAATCTCACAGTTTATAGATTGTTAATATGATTACTCTGATAAAAGTTATTAAGCATTTTTCACTTCTCTGACAGCCTTTGGAACCAAAAGACATTGCCAGTGCTGTCACATACGTGCTCAGCGCCCCACCTCATGTTCAGGTTTGTAGGTTTTCTCTTATTTTCAACTTTTTACATGTTCACTTATTGAATTTAGCTCATTAATATTGTAAATATCACCAGATTACTCAAAATAAGATAATATTTCTATAACTTTCCTTTCAGGTTGGCGACATTAACTTTGAAGCTGTGTAGCTGGTATCACAGTGCAGGCACACAATCCAGCCTCCACAACAAAGTGGTGTGAACCTCCTGACTGCTCAACACTGCTCTCCATTTATCCTCTGCTAAGAAAAAATAAATAAAATCCACCAACCATTACTGAGCATACTCCTACGTGATCCTAAAATTCTAAAAAGCCAAGTCAAAGTTGAATTTTTCATCAAACAGAACTGTCAAAATGACTGTGAGAAAATTACCAAAATAAATTTTTCTAATGCGAATGAAGAAAGACTTGAGAATGTTTTTGTTCAATTCAGATGCACACTGACCTAAACTGAAATTGAACTCAACAGAATTAACAATAAACTGTTCTTATTAGCTATGCCCTAGAGACTGGTAAGTGGCCTTTGTTCATTAATCTATGTTCTCCAACCAGTTGGTGAATGGTTGCTGGAAGTTTTTGGCAGTCACTAGGTAAAATTCGGGGCAAGGAGGTATATGGTGCTGTACTAAAAACTTTGTTGTGGTTCCTTTGTACGGTAGCAGATTTCTGCACTCTCCAACAGTTTGTGTGGATGATGCAAATATTTCTGAAAACACTCACCAAATCGCTGAGTGTCTTGACAATTTGACACTGCTCAGCAAGCACAATGCTCCATTGTCAAGGATGCAATAGAGAACTGTTTGCTAGTGTTAATTTTGGTTGTAATAAATAATACATTTGTTGTAAATAATTAAATGCAGGTATCTGAGAGAGTACACTTTTAATTAAAGGAGTTGTCAATACAAAACTTAGCCTACCAAGAAATCATATAAGTTTGGTTTCAAAAACTGGCAGCAGAGTGTCAAAGTGCTGGCCACCCTGGTGTTTTGGTCCCGTTCAAGTGTGACTTGACCAAAGAGCAGTAGATTCTGGCCACGACTGTACTATGACCTGTAGTGGTTAATATTGTAATGGAAGTAAAAGCAGAGCTTTGAAATGCAAAATAGTGATGATCTTCAGAGGTATGTTTTCTTGGGACATTTTGTGCTCTTCACGAAGAACCAGCCATGGTTTAAATTCCATACATCAGTATTGCCATGTTTATATCAGTGTTATCTTAATATGAGTAAAGTGTTTGTGTTTAAAATGCAATTAAAATGAAAGTTCAATAAGTCACAGTAAAAAGCATGAAACAAGAGAAAATCACGAAAATGCAGAGAGGCGCTGAGCACATATTATGATGGCACTGGCAACATCTGTTTTTTCTAGAAGCTATCAGAGAAGAGAAAGCATGTCTGTCATTTCTCCACAACTGTTCCTAAAAGAGAAATCCAATTTAAAATACTCCAACTGCTGCAACTAATACTACTGCCACAAATAATAATAAATAAAGTTAATGATAATGAGGTTTTTTCTGCTGTGTCATGCTGAGATGACACCAAGAAACTGGGCGAGCAGCCAGTTTATGTTACTCTATAACCGAGTTGCAATTCATCATTCATTATAACTCTGTACACATGACTCTGTGTCAAAGTTCATTTTTATCAGTATAATAATGTAACAATGTTTAGTGTAGTTTTTATTTTATTTTATATGGATCGTTTATGGAAATTTGTTTCTACCCTAACCTAATTCTAACTAAGTAACAAAGTAACTAATTACTTTTAAAAATAAGTAATCAGTAATTAGTAACTACTTACTATTTTCAAGTAACTTGACCAACACTGCTGATAACACATGAGAACAATAAACGTATCATTTTCAGTTGTAACCCACAAACTGAACGGTAATGTACACTCTTTAGGTTTTTGATAGTTCGTCACTGTTTCTACGTGTAGTTGGTTGGAATGGAGGCGGAGTCAACTGGGATCCGTTCTCCCTACCTAGTGCGCGCTCACGACGCAGAGGAAACTAATTCTGTCAGGGATACCTATCTTGGCACGTCCCTCTCTTCATACTTTTGGTGCGTGAGCTGGTTAGGGCTGTCTTTGATGGAGCGCTGGCGGGGCAGAGTGGCTCTGGTGACCGGAGCCTCGGTCGGGATCGGGGCGGCTGTAGCCGTGGAGCTGGTCCGGCTCGGTATGAAAGTGGTGGGCTGCGCCAGGGACGTGGGGAAAATACAGGTTTGCTCTGAAATAACAAACTCGATTTCGGAAGAGTTATGTTATGCCGGTATACAGTTTTCTCCGTTAGCAGTAGTTTACCGTTTTCTTGCGTCTTTTTTGTACATCAAGCTAGTTACCGTTACAACATTCACTTTCGGTCACACAGGAAGTTACCAAAATAAAAGCACAAACGTTCAAGGTTCAAGGTTCTTTATTTGTCACATGCATAGTTATACACGTATAACACACAGTGAAATGTAGCCTGACACGCTCCTCGACATGTGCAAAAATGGGGGGGAGAACATATAGTATATACATTGGGTGAATGTGCAGTAGTAGCAGCAAGCAGGTGAATTCTGTACATTAATATGAATAGACATCTGACATCTGACTATTTTACAGAATAGTTATATTACGTGTTGTTGAGCTAGGTTTACATATCCGCCGTTACACTGTTTGTTTTACAGTAAATCATTTATGCTGTATATATTGGTCTATATGCATGGTTTAAAATAAGCTGCACAATACCAGATCCAAGCTGTGTACTATGCAGTAAAATTAAAGGAAGTCAGACATGATAACTTACATACTGATGAGTTGTGTAAATCCACAAAGAGCAGTATACCTCGGGTAAACAGCCACAGCACAGGTCAGCTGATCACAGCCTGTAGACAAATCTGCTGGAACTCTCAATATAGCCTATTGTGACTCCTGATACCTTTCCACACACTGCTATAACCACTACAGTGATCTTAGGGTTCTCAAATCTGCAAATCCCATTTTAGCCCCTGACTATACTCATATAGTATGTTAATAATAATTATATAATGATGTATTGTATTCATATTATTAAATTAGTATATGTATATTCTGTTTAGATGTAGAGGCAGACTCATCCATCTACAATGTAGGCTGCAGCAAATAGAGCTATAAGTTCATTTGTTTGTCTATGCTTGTGTTCTCACTATCATTCAGGTGTTCATTAGAGTTTATGTTTAAATTAAGTTTTCATTTCCATGACTAATTTTGCTATTATGTTAAAGTTGTATGAGGTTGGGTTTCCTTTGCAAAATAATTGAAAACTCCCTATCTTTGAATTCATTTCAGAGTCTGGAAAATGTATCTTTTATCTTAGTAAAGAAGTTTAATCCATAATTCAACTTTTACCAGAAGTTTTTTACCACAAGAATCTGAATGCAAAGGTGATTATCAAGGTATCGTCTTTTCCTTTTTGTTTTCAGAAACTGGCAGCAGAGTGTCAGAGCGCCGGTCACCCTGGTGTTTTGGTGCCTTTCAAGTGTGACTTGACCAAAGAGGAGGAGATTCTGTCCATGTTCGCCACGATCAAAGAGCAGCACAAAGGCGTGGACGTGTGCATCAATAACGCTGGCTTGGCTCATCCAGAGGCGCTGCTAAATGGCAAAACCAGTGGCTGGAAGAACATGTGGGATGTAAGAACTCAGAGTTATTTTAGAAAGAAAATATTTCTGGTTGGTATGCAATATAATATTGATAACATATGTAATATGTTGTTGTGTGCTACATATGAAAGCATTCACAGGAGTGGTTTCCCAGCAGAATACTGTACTCTAATGAAATGATAAATTGAGTCATCGTTATTTTTTAGAATGAGATAGATGTCTTTTATTTATACAAAAAGTTGGATAAATAGTGTGTTAAAATGTCAAACTATGAAAATCCCCATCTCGTTAAAATAAATACACAATCACAATAGATGAGAAAGATAAAATATTATGCAAAACTGGCTAAAGGCTGTCACTTGGTGTTCGCTCTCTCTGCGTAGAGTATCACTTCCTGTAGCAACACACAGTGATGTTTTTGTGTAGCATATGTGTTGTAATAAAAACTGTATTTACTCGCTAAATTATAGTCACTGTATTCACTCACTGTGTCTTTAGGGATTCACTAGCTTAGCTTAGTTTTTACATTTTTTATTTTAATGATATTGAATTCGAGACTCCGTTTTGCACCCTTGAAAACTCTCTAGCTAGCCATCCTCCTGTAGTCAGTGCAGCCGAAGGTAGAAGGTAGCGCAGGCCCCATTAGGTGTCCCCCGGCAGACTGTCGAGTAGCTGGGGAAACAGGATGGCTGGATGACGGGGAGGAGGTATCATAGCCCCCGGTACACTACCAACCTGTTCATGTGGCTTTTTGTTCAGGACATGCTTTGTTTTATAGAGAATAGCAATGGTTTTTGACATTTTTGTTTTCACATGGTTTATATGA